CTGCACAGTCGAACGAACATTTTCGAAATTGAATACAATAAAAAATGAACAACAATGTTGCAGAAAAAGCTCGGTGCTTAATCGATATTTTAAAAAGAATAACATGCTAAAAATGTTAACTCTTAAAACTTTCAGCCTGTCTCAACCCTTGTCCTTTTATTAATAAACAAGGAATAAGCTGGGACTAGTTACGCTGTCTTTTGTTCATATCACTTAAATTACATTTGTCATTCAATGAACAGAGTCAAAACACTCGCTTTGGGTGTAGGTCTCCTTCAAATTACGCCACCTGCCACGATTTTGTGCGACCTGTAGCCAATTTTTCCCTGCTGTTCTTTGACTATTTTCTATTTTTACGACATAAAACTATTTTCACAGAATATGACACAAGAAGATTTTCAATAGCACAGTCGTAGAGGCAACAAGTAGTGTTAATATATAAAGGCGAATGCGCATATGTTTGTTACGATTTCACACCTATACTGCTTGGTCGATTGTAGTGATCTCTTATCTATTAGACAAGTCCGTCCGTCCGTCCGTCCGTCCGTGGTGCTGTTTCAGCGGCCAAACCGTAAGAGATAGATATAGAGAATGTTTAAGTTATAAGTTAAGAATAGTCTGATAAGACTACAAACCGGATGTGAGTAACGTAGCACTTCCGGTTTTCGAGAAATCACGTGATTTCTATTTCAAACGAAACCACACAAAATCTCCGAAGTTCTCAATTAATTAAATACTTTTTTTTTTGGTGAACATTTGGTTCACAGGTTTGCTAGTTATTCTATAATATCCTGGAGAAAGTTGTTTATAGGTAGGTTATCTACTTTATTTCGGGGAAAAAGGGTAGGTTTTTTAAAATAGGAGAAGAAAATTTGTACGCGAAATAAATTTTTCTTAACATTTTCGTAAATCGTTTTTTAATATCATGACTAGGACTTTTTGTTTTCAACAGTAAATTAAAAAGCTTGTTTCTGCCAAGTTAATTTTAACATATTACAACTTCTCATTACTAATTTTCCCATTTATGTTGCATATGTGAAAATACAGTATAGAACGAATGAAAAAATTGTGTCTTGTTTTATCAACTAGACTGGAATTTAGTTCTAGTATGTGAGATTAAAATAAAAATACTGCTTTACTTGGTTATTACATTTTTTAAGCATTCAACTGTTACATTAATAAATCTAAACAATCCTGTCTGCAACTTGAACCAAGTGGATTTTTTTAGGTAACATTTTATTTAGACTGTTTTACTATTGTCATATCGAGTAAATTTATAAGAATTGATGGTGTCAAATACATTCCTTTTTTTAAAATTCAATCCTTATTAGCACAAAAAAGTTAGACATGCGTTCAAAACGAGTTTAAGAAAAAATGTCACACCAAATTTGCTTATACAAGGTCTGAAACCGTATCAAACCTTTTTTATAGTAAGACGGAATAAGTTTATCGCTTACACCCTTAAGCATACCCGGGGATGCCTCGCGAAGAGGCGTCCGACACTTTTTCAAAATCGTGACTTGTCTGCGGCCCGCCATCACGAACTCTGTACCGTTACACACACACACCGCTCACACTCACACATAACACGAAACGAGCGAACGAGACGGAGCTAACACCCCGGGACCGTCTCCTAAAAAGCCTGGAGGATCACGCTCCGGGTTAAAATACTTTTTGTTTTCGATATGTTAACTTTATGCTGTGGGTACGGTAAGCAGGTCTTACTATGATCTCTCCTCAATATGCAACATATCTTGATGCTTAAAGAGCGCAAAGTATAAATTCAAGACTTTCGACGTTCACACCATTTGAACCCCAAAAACAATTTTAACAATGTTTGCATTTTTGATGTGTAACATGTTTCCTATCGCTTTCCTGCAATTTGTGGGAGTGATTTCGTGAAATGGGACGGAAGTGTGTAACAGGAAGTCGCGAAAGCGCGCGCTATTTGATTTGATTATAGAACATAATGTTCAAATGGCTTATTCCTTTTGTAGTAGGTTTTTTTTTTTACTTTACACATCATACGCGACTACTGTAAGGCTCGCTTGTTTTTTGTAAGTTATATATATTACTAATAAGCTATACTGAGTACTATGAAACATTAAAAAAATGGTTAAAGGCTTACTGGTTTACTGCCTTTGAGCAGCAAGATCGATATGACCGCTGGTCCGCGCGATGTCAAGACTATTTACAGGATATATAAAGTGTCCTATGTCGTTAACTGTCGGCATAATTTGTAATGACAAAGTCGTGGATACCGATCGCTACATGGGAACTGTCGTTCAATGTCAACGCAAATAGATACTAGTGATGTATGTATGCATAATCCCGCTTTAATATCGATGAAAGATAAATCTTAGATGGTAGTGCCTATGCATATATGCATATAAAAATGAAAGATGTTGAAATTTCGGTAAGTACGGGAGCTTTTGATTAAGTGTGTTCACCCAGACAAGGAAACGGTGCATGTTCGTTTCCAGCCCGGTAACTGGAGCGAGTTGCCCTGTTTTGTTACTCGTAAAAAAACTTTAATAGGGATGACGACTATCTTTTGTTTTTTTCTTCTAATAGGTAGATTAACAAAAAGTATTAGACGCGTATTTTTTCTTTTTCACATGTTCAAAACATTACAGCAATATATATATTTAAAAAGTCGCATTGTCTGGGTACAATTTTTACTATTTTTTTACTTAGAAGTGATGGCACGAGCCTACACTCCCAAACTTCCACGCACTTTGTCTTTGATATGATTTTATTGATTGACAAAAATAAATAAAAGAGTCCATTACATATTTTTTGATAATCTGACTGACAGATTAAGAAGAATTTCGTTTACTTTACTCCGTCATCATCCCTATTATAGTATCTTTATCTACTCCCATGCTTTAAAAACGCTATTAGAGATTCTCAAACAGTTAGCTTATTGCCAACATTAAAATATCTAATGTCATAATAATTAAAAAAAATATAGGTAATACCCAAATAAATTTCAAAATCCCTTCGCGCCAAGGGCTTGCTCATCAGACAGCCTCAATTTTCACAGCTGGATGCCTAGTATTATGAATTTCAAAAAAAGAACATTGTCATTCACGCTTGCATCACTACCACAGCGAATCTTTTCATGAATTTGAAGTTCTTACAACACCCAGTCAATGGTTTCAGAATCTTTCAGAAATTTCAGATAAAGTCTTTTATGCAAATGTTATAAAATTAGGTATTAAAACATGTGATACTATTAGCATAGATTCGTGTATTAATACCCCTCATTATAAAAGAGTTGTATTAATAACTATAATATATTACACTCAACATTGTTGGCATTATTTTTTTGATTTTCAGAAGATAATTAGATATAAACCATTTTAGGTATGTTTTTTTCCTCCTAATGTGTTGTATATTTATATGACTAGACTGCCACAATTGACACTGGAATTGATACTACGTATTACAAATGCACTTGTAGGTATGTAAGTAGATTCATATTTCTATGAAATTTTCAATAAAATTGATTTATTGACAGATGTTATATGAAGGATCACGGCTGGGCTATTGCGATGTCGTACAAAAGCATTAATCACGAGAAGCGATTTTAATATAATCAGTTGGAACTCTCATAGGGTTTCAATGATTTAAACGTATTTTTTTCGGAAGTTAGATTATAAGGTTTGCAAGTCAATTAGTTAAAGTACCTATCCTTTTTTCTCAATTATAGTCAGTCAAAGACAAGTACGAAAGAATGAAATTATTATCAAATTTTCATATAAAGGCCTTACTTTTCCGTACCTACCTAAATGAAATGACTCGTACAATAGAACATTTTTAGCATACTATAACACCACTTAAATATTTTCATGAAATCTTACATTAAATAAAGTATTTAACACCTAATTGTTTTGCTAAGTTAATTAAAATAATTCAGGTTTTATCTAAGCCCCACAACATTTTTTTTTTCTTTAAAACAATTGTAATTGAAAAATAATAAGAAAATATAATTTGATTAATATTATAGTACGATATGATGAGTCAGTTCATATTATGGTCACCCCAACATGACTAAGCAAATCATAATGCACACATCTGACCACAGGCAAGGCATAGACAAGCCATTGTAACGGCTCTTACCGATTGTGCAACCTTGGCTGTTTGTGTGAGAACTCTTCAATGCGCCGCATATTCTTAGCGCAACTATTTAGTTTATTTCATAATAGTGCTTATTTAACAAACAATGCACTTGCGATAGTTCTCAATATATTGAAGGAGAGATAAGTTTGTCTATGATATTGCCTAGGATTTTGAAATGCTTTAGAAAAAAAAACAAATGTAAGGCTAAGACTGGACAGGGGTCCAGCCTTAGCCAATATTTAATATATTTCAGTTATTCGCTTAATTGTGCCGGCGAGATTTTTACAAACTTAGTTTTTATTTTCATACCAAAATTTTTAAATTAATAAGTTATGTTTTTATTGTACGCTTTAAGAAAATATAAAAGCATAAGATTTCATTTCACGATGATAGATAGCATTAACAATTCAAAATACCAAAAAATGGAACCAACCTAATTTATTTACAATTAATAAGTATTTATTTAAAATCTTATCAATGAATTTAAAATTATGTTTCATAAAGAATATTTTATTCATAAATTTTTACGTAGAAAAGTCATATGTACCTTAAATGAACTACATGGTTTTCTAGCAATATATATATATATATATATATATGTATAGATAAAATCTCACCAATATATTGATTTTAGTTTTAAGGTCAGTATCTAATAGAGAAATGACTTTGTCACGTTTTTAATGACCACTATTATAATAACGCAGTGCATTTACACTGTCTGTCTGTGTGTATTTACATTGCCTCAGTCGTTGAAAGATTATCTCCATTTGTCACTGTTTTATCGGAGACCAGAGACCACACGTATTTCTCTAAAATGCTTAAATAAAAACGGATTTTTATTAATATTGTTAATATTTAAAAAAATCACAAATGACTTATAATGAAGCGTATTCAATAAATAATTTGGAAAGCAAATTGACCGGTAATCAATCAGTATTTAAATACTTTCGAATCTTGAGTAAATTCAAAAAAATGTTTAGCTTTATTTTATGAATTAAATATAATTACCTAATACTAATTTAAATAAAGTTTAGTCATATTAATGATACTAGAAATATTGTTTTGAATAAAATTCTGATAACTAAATTTTATTACTTAATTAGAAATAAATGGTTTCCGCTCGCGTTTTTATTTCACTAATTAATGGTACCTCCATCGTTGAAGAATCATATAAAGTATGATTCTTCAACGATGAACAAAATAAATGTGAATTGACTCGAAGTCGCGGGAGACATCAACAGATTCTAAACTAGATGAAAGACTGATAGGAAACTGCTAAGGATAAGTAGAATCGGCTAAGAAGATGAGGGACGCTTTTATCCAGCCTATTGGCTCATAAAACCTCGAATCAAAGGCCCTACTTTAGTCCATAACCAATTTATTTAATTTAAGTTTGGAAAATTCATACAAATTATTTATTTAATAAATTATATTTTTCCACATTTAGCTGAATTTAAAATTGTGACAGCGTGGTAAGCCTGTGGGACGTGAAAAATAATATAATTTTTTTAGAATGAAAAATATTTTATGATTATTGTAATGAAACCTGACCTTTGACCTGCTGTAACAGAGTGCTCGCAAAAATGTTAAACAAATTACGGTCCGTATTAAAAGCTCGTTGCTCAAGCTTACAAGTATTTGTCGTTGAGCTATCACACCCGCTATGATAATACACATCAAAAAAAAATTTAAAAAACTAAAAATTGTATATCGATAAATCAACGTCTAATAGCCTGCGCAGACGAGGGGCTTTTATCCGCGGACTTTTTGGTCTGTCAAAGTAGACCGCTTTCAATTGCAAGGAGCAATTAACACGAGGGAATAAAAGTAAGCTTTCCTAAATTTTCGGGGACAAATGTTCGCATATCGTGTGCGTTAAGTCCGTTAAGGTCCTCAGCGGAAATTATTTTCACAATTCAGGGACATTTTACTCTAACGCAGACAAAGTCCCTTGTCTGCGAAGGCCATGATCCGCAGTGTGGCACTTTTTTTTTAATGCTTATAAGGCAAGGCGTTTGACCACAATCTTGCCTGATGGAAAGCGATAATGAGGCCTAGGATGGTACACGCCTGCCTCTATGACGCCTGTTCATGCTGGCCTGGAAGATATCCAGATTATATTGGTCCGGGAAAACAGACCTCGGCAAGGAGTTCCACTCCCTAGCCATTCGCATAATGAAAGAGAGATTGTTTTTATTTTGTTTCGAGAGACACAGGGACACGAAGCATTAGTTCTATTCGAAGCAAAGGCAAAGTTTTGTACAGTCTCAGCAGCACGTTACGTCTACCCCTTTTAAACGTGTTACCGTATCAATCTATGATAATCCGCGCACGCAAACTTATCCACACTATTATAAGCGAGCCAGTCCCAGAGAAAGTTGAGGCTTATTGCCAATGCATATTCATTGTACCTTCAGGCGGATCGCGGCCACTTTACCAAGAGCCCCGACTAGCCACACAACTACCCTGGCCGCTGAAGCCTCATCTATGACGAGGGGAGACAAGGGAGTTCTAGTTAAAACAGTGCCCGAGTCTGTAGTGGATGTGCCGTAACTACTTTTATATTCTGTTTAGTATCCAGTGACACTATTTTGTTAGCCGCTTTATGTAGTATGCGAGTTACGACGGTATCTGTTATGTGGTATATATGTACAGTGATTCTAGCTTTGTCTGAAAAAAATGGATCTAGTGGAGAGAGGATTAGATTCTTTTCAGTTTTAAAAAAATAATAATAACGTTTCGTAAACGCCTTAATGACGGAAGGTAATTGAAAAATGATGTTCAAACTGTACTTTTCATGCATTTTTAGATATTAAGTATGTCAGCATGGAATTAGAAATATGTATTTATTTTTTCTAATTTAAAAATAAGAATGACCACAATCCATATAGGTGTTTAAAAATAAATTTAGTTTTCTTTATTTAGTATACGCCTGAAAACAAAAACTATAGAAGAGAAGAAAGTCACTAGGCATAAAGAATTAATTTTTGAGTAAACTCATGTAAAAGGTGAGATTTCATTGTAGAAAATTATTGCCCAATTGTTTTTTAATTGTTAATTTTACCTAGGCAGTCAATGCTGAAATCTCGGTGGCTAGAAAAAAAATCAACAGTAAATTCGAATGTTCCCTCCGTGACTAAATAGCGATGTGTCACATAGTGAAGTGACACACGCGTTTCAATCAGTCTGGCAAGTTTACGCATTCACGTTTACTGCCAGACGTCCATACAGCCTCGGGACCACTAAAACTACGGCACTGTACGTCCCATAAAATATATTATACCCACTACATTTAAACTACCATCCTGCTTCATAAACTGCGATCTGATTTAACTACTGTCTCACTACATTCATATTTAACAAAAAACTATGTTTACTATCTTAGATTTTAGAAAAGAATAAAGCTTAAGTACGTAATAACGTTTAATTTTTCAATAATGAAGTATTATAAAATTTAACTGATGCACTTTAAATTAAATTATAAGTGAATTTTTGATTTCTTTAAGACCTATCTAATATCACTTAAACATCATCATCTTATTGAATGGCTACTAAAGTAAATTTACCATTAAATAAATATATTGATAATGTAATTAAAAAAAGACTTTCGCATAATCTAACTGAAATTCAAATAGAGATAGAATGACGCTTTAACAAAACATGATTATTAGCAAATTATCAACATATTCTATGGATAAATCTATTGAAAATTTTACTAAAAAAATCAATGCGGACCAGGTAGCTGACGGGACTCGAACCCGCACCCTACGCTATCCGGGCGAAAGTCACAGGGCCACGGTAGCATAATGGTTAATATCTGAAAATTTTCTAGAAAAAATTGTTTAGATATAAAAATCTAGCAGTTAAATGCTTATTAAAAAATATAACTATAATATATAGGTATTTAGTTTTTTATAACTCATGTTCGCAGTCTTAGTGGCCGATGCGAAATGTCGCGGGCTTGTCGGAAGCCGTCGCCTCCGTGGTCAGATTATCGAGTCTGTGACGCGTTCTTCCGTGCGAGAATCGGAACGCTCCCGAGTATGAGTTTGCAAGTTACTCAATCGCGTTTGCGTAAACGTTTAATAGTATAAATAGCATTCCAATAACCCCATCTAGTGGTAAACCGCCTGTAGTAAGGCATAAATAAGCTAACGTAAAAGTGATGAAGTTTAACTTGCATTTGATATTATAGAAAGAGATATTTTCATTTCTGGAACCCCGTACAATTTACGCCTATACTTATATAATATGTAAAGTTTAAGCTTTTATAGTCTATCATCTTTCCTATTACCAGGTCAGGGATTTATAAATTGCGAAAGAAACTCCACGACATCGAAGAAATTCTAACATAACATTAGATCACTACTGTCATGTCGATACAGTGTCATATACTGTAATAATAATTTAGTGTCTTACAGTAAAATAAAAACCATTTAATACTGTTAGAGCAATAAAATCCACGAAGTATTTTCACTAACAACAACAGTTCTCGGGCATGACGACACTAAACTATTTCCATGATGAAATGATGATTACTTAGGTACCTTAAAATCATACTTATTTTTTATGACGATTTTCCGTTTGTAGAGTAGGAATAAAAATCATTTTAACGATTTAATAAATCGATACATAATTAATACTATTAAGGAAATTTCTTTCATTCAAACGGCTTTTAACGAATGAAGTATAATATTAATGCATAATATCCTTTGTAAATTTTATGGACTATCGACTTTATCAATTATTTGAAAATTTATTACATTATAAAAGCCTTGTCGTAAAACTAAGAGTGTCTAAAACGGTATTTCGATGTGTAGAATGAATTAAATGCCGCATTAAAAGGAAAGTGCATATAATTAGAATCCGGATCTGAATAAAACATTACTTACATTAAAGTCTCACTAATAATAGCCTACAACTAAAGGACATTTAATCCTATTTTGAATAGAAAAAGGAACACTTTTGAAATCCAAAATAAAACGAAGAAAATAATTTATATCAATTACGCTGTCTATTATTTAAATAATAATTACATAATAATTAAATAACTTAAATATTTTAACGCACCAGATGCGAATAAATTAATCGATAATACTATACAATTCCTATTATAATATAATACATTAAGATATATTACATTTTGTTATTAAATATCACAACCGATTCGCGGCCCTAAAAAATTGAGAACAATAAGTCGCGTACTCCCCATTCGGCCGTCCGAGTTCGACCGTTCCTCGAGGAGCGGGAGTTATTATACTCATAACATAAATAACGATCTAACTGCAGTCTTTGGCTAACGATTCAAAATTCACGTGTTGGAATGCCCCAAATCAAGCATCAGCCGACACCCTTTATTCAGTCCGAAGAATACGTCACTTGGCATCAACCCCCCTGCTCAGACTTGTATGTCTTCGCGTGAGCGTCCCATAGTTTAAAAGTGGATGACGTGCTAGCCTCCGGCATTCGTGGACTACTAGTGTAGTTGGAAGGCAACCGGGGCGGTGTCGATAGGAACGAACCATACGAGGAATTAATACCGAGTGACGTGTCCAAAGTGGAGTAATACCCAGAAGAAGCGGCGGAAGGCGGCGGCGCGGGCGCCTGTTGCGCTCGAGTCGCTTCAGCGTATACATCCAAATGTGTTTTCACCAACGTCAACAACTCCCCATAATTCGTAACAGTGGCACCCGCGCCGGCCACCCTGTAAAGCAACAACCGCGCCTCCCCAAAAAGACTGTCCAAAATTTTACCTGTCGTGAAGAGGACGATGGCCTTCAGACAGGAATACTCCGCGGAGTCCACGTGCAGCGCTTTCAGCTTCTCCACTTGTTCTTGGAAGATTCGTATGTGGTCCATGAAGGCCACCACTCGGTCTGCGGCCATCGGTGAGGCGTGGAGACCGGCAGCGGCCAGTAAAGGGGCCACGTGGAGAGGCATGGAGCACTGCGACGCGTTCAGGACAAACAGTTCGGACCAGACGAGTCTGAGTAACGCCACTTGGTCCGTGACTTGAAGGTCGGGGAAGAAGGGGATGTTTCTCGCCCACTCGACTGCGGAGAAGAGCAGCCGCGCGGCGAGTTCGCATATGTTGTCTATGCCCATTACGTTGGTGGGCTGGACGCACTGGCCGTAGCGTGAGGTGGGGTAGGGTTCTGCGCGAAGTAGTAGCGAGATGTAGGAGGAGAGGTAGGGATGGCTGTTGAGGCCGGCCGCGGGGTCGCCATTCGCCAGGGCGAACTGCCCGGGGAGAGCTAACCCTGCAGGCTGCGTTGGTGGCACACGACCTCTCTGTACAGCTGGAACAAAGAAACAATAGTGTTAAACAAATTATAAAAACGATGATAACATTATCTACCTATGTTAAAAAAAATATTTACTAGAAAAAAATCCACGTGGACCAGGCAGCGGACGGGACTCGAACCCGCACCCTTCGCAATCCGGGCGAATGCACTGACCAATTATGCTACCACGGCCCTGATGGCCGCGTCGAAATTTGCCTAGCTTTAAGCTGCAAGGCAGCGCCATCTCTTCGCATTGTAGGTAGCCCACAAAATGCCTGGTCCGCGTGGATTTTTTTCTAGTAAAAACTTTTCTTTAGATTTAAACATCTAGCAGTTAAATGCTTAAAAATAAATAAAAACATACCTATATTAATTCAAAACTCTTTGTATATTTTTGTTCTATCCAACGTTTTTTTTTTTCAAATATAATAACTTGGAACAAATTGCGAATTAAGAGCTTCAGTGTATACAGTTATAGACTAGGTAGCTTTTCTCGGGGCGTTTAGAGACTTGAAAATCTTTATTTTTTCTCTTTTCCATTGCGTCATTAAATACGTCATAGATAAGTAAACGCCTAAGCGTGCAGTTATCGTAGCTAATCATCGCAAACCGAAATTGTTGCCCCGGTAACATTACCGAGGATGAAAACTAAGCATTAGTTCCCATTACATGCGCCGGCGCAGTCTCGTTGTAACGCGTTGTCTACATTGTAATTTCTATTAATGCATTTTAAATTGTCCCTTGGAAGCGGTTGACCTCTATATCGCACAAGTATCTACTTTACGCCAAGTTTGATGTCGTCATGATATTTTTTGTTTTAAAAAGTCCGGCAACGCATACAGGGATCTCTAGTCTACATTGCGCGCTCTATCTAATTTTAAGAATTGGACCTAGTATTTCCTTTTAAAAGTTTTATTTTTATTTTCTTAAACTTCATGTTAATAACAACGCAACGTAATCTCAGAATAATATATTTGCTTCCTTAACTGGCGTTGCTCTAAATTTAAGAACAATCGCACACTGTGATGCGTCGAGTCCGTGACAAGTCCTCGGCGGATTTTTTTTTCACGATTCAGTTGTACGTGGAGGACAAACGACGTCATTCGTCTGCGCAAGCCAATAAAAGTATTGCAATACAGATTAAATGTGTGAATAATACAAATATCGAAGACAATTCCCGAAGTATAATCATGAACGATTCCATTCCAGCTTATTTTCATCAATAAAAATAATCGTTTCTTTTTTCTTACGGTCAGTATTCCATTCGTATTATAATTGACATAATTTTACTAATAAAATAATAGGGTACGTATTAAAATTAACGACTAATATTTTTATTTAATGTATTTCGTGAAAACTTAAAAACCAATTACTATAATGCCGAACTACAATTTATAACAGTTATTGAAAAAAATAAACAATTCAAAAAGGAAAAGCTCTTTTGCTAATTTAAAACGACCGTTATTTATAGTCGTTTGGATGTTTTTGATCTAAAAATCAAATTACTGCGCGGATTAATAGTAAAGAATTCGTATTAGCTTGACTAATGACTATGTTAATTTTATTTGGACAGTATGACCATTTACGCTGTTTTCTAAAGTTACACATGATATTATAATTTCATTAGCAATAAATATCATCAGCCAAGGCAGTATACATCTAAATAGCGATATAAAGCAGAACTGATTTGTGGAACACATCAAATAATATGAGCCCGAACATTCACCAGAGCGTATCGATATTTATGTAAATTTTTTATCGATTCCTCGACTGCATCGTTTTATAATGATCGATATTGACAACCGCTAGTGGGTGACAAGAAATTAAAGATTGGAATTACTTTTTTCTTCATATTTGAATATCGTTGTGGTTCGAATTACAAAGTATGATAATATATATTTGTTGCCATCGACACTTTGTAGGTACTGGAAATGAATACGAATAGGTAACTATTACTTCGGCCGCTTTTTTTTGTAGCAAAAAGTGTCGGTTGCGTAAAAAGCGTACAGTCACGACTCTAGAAGGTTTAAAATTTTTGAAATGCTTGGTTCTGCAACAAGTGTTGGTATTGTTGGCGAGTTCCATTCACTATTCTGTATGGGCCATTGACATTTTTTAAGGTGAACTGTATCGTTGTGGCCGACGATTCGAGGGGTCAAACCTCGATCACGATTCACGGAACAGGTGCGAAATGCGCGCGAAATAAAATTTAAAAACATTTTTTTTTATTTTGTACGCAACGCGAGTGATAGCGGATACCATCCGCTAATATTTCGACTTAAATTATATTTTTATTAACGTTTGCTTTTATTCATGTAAGTTAGTATTGTAGACACACGAGAATTATTACAAAAGCTGAAGGTAGGTTCCCAATTCGATAATGTTGATTTTCAGACTTCCTATATGGTTAAGATTTGTCAGTACCTATTACTGTAATACTATATAAAACGTATGATGGAAACTTGACTTTTACTCAAGAAGCGTGACGAACTAACCGTGAGACATTGGAAGTGTAACAGAAGGACAACTAGGCGAGTATTTGTAGAGCGAACGAAACACTACTTATCGTCGGCGCGGCATCTGGGGAAGATCGTGACGACAAATCATCGGTTTCGACGCGAGGCGAATTGACGTGGAACTGTTCCGATTGCCACGGACGGACGGAGGAACGCCGCGTATAGTGCGAGTCGCGGTTATGGTACTAGCGAGACTCGTATTACACAGTATAGTGCGATTCAAATAAGAATAGGAAAGCTAATGACCTCCATCTGTCAAACGTCGCTTGAAAAGTACGGTTTGCAAAAAATCTTGGAACCCTTTTTTAGCACTCAGCTATTTCTAGAATAAAAACCAAACATTTGTAAACGAACAATGACAAATATTGATAATTAATATTGGTTGATATTTTTTTTCCTTTATTGAGCTTTGGCTATGAATGGTTGATAACCTAAATCGTCAACCAAACGTCAGTTTAAGTAGCGTTCAGAAACTTGATTTAAAACTTTCGTTTACTTATAGGATGCATGTTCGTATGTGACCTAGTAATAGTGCATGATTATTCATAACTACTCCGGCGGTAATGGAGTGATGAGCGGAACTGAAGAGCTCGATTCTGATAAATGTTTTTTCTCACACAGTGTTAATAAATAAATATTATTAAAAATTGGTTGCTTTTTTTTCTCAATCTAAGTAAATAAATTTTATTAAAAAAATCTGATATTTTTTCTCGCACAATCTTAGTGAATAAATAAGTTTTATTAAATAAAATCTTTTTTTGCTCACTCTACCTATTTGGTTTGAATGGACGGCTAGACGTCACAATATGGCGCCCTGTCGGTCCTATTCTTAGTTGAATCCCATTATACATTATGCAGACATTGAAAATAGCAACATTTGTATGAAACGTGTAAAATATTATGTTGTCTGTTAAATTAAACATTCCAGACCAAACTGAAAAAAATGTATGATGCAACAATATCATATTGATTTATTTTGTGTAAAAACAAGCCTGAAGAAATAAAAGCATTATTTATAATTATTACTTCACATGGCTAAGTATTCGTTTTTGATATTCGTCATTTTGACAGCACATTGTCCTTATCAACTCTATAGGATAAACTTTTGTCAAGTTTACAAATGGCAAATCCAGTTTGCAATGTGAAGTGCCGGTATTACATTAGACATTAGAAAGTGAAAATGCTTGATACTGGTAACTAAATAAACAGACGCTACCAACCAGTTGTCGCTTTAGGCTTATCGCTGATTCCATAGCCTTAACTCAGATGAGACAAGAATGTCTGGCGCGGGAAGCACGCTGAGCGCGCGACCGAGACGCGAGGTTTTTTGGCGGGAAACGCGACGCACCGGCCGCATGCGCCAGCACGCGCCAGACGTTTTTCTTTTTTTTTACATATCCAACAAACAGGTTTGTAAGCAATTTTTTTCTTAATTTACGGAGCGAAGCTTAAAAAGATAACCTTTTTTTTTGATAAATTAATGTAACATTTTACTAATGAAATAACTTCTTAATCTCGATTATGTCTCATACTGGCATGACGTATTAATTTTAAAATAGGAAGTCATAAGTGTGATTTTATATAAGTAAATATATAAAAAACATTATGACAATTCTGCAGACTTATAAGTTTGAGTATGTATGGATAGGCAATATAATAATCTCAGATTATAGAATACGAAGGTGTAAGTATGTAAGGTGACCTACAGAAATAAATCACGAGTGAAACCAATGTCGTGAGAGATTGTGCTATGATTTCGTTAGATGTAAAGATTTTATTATTGTGGGCAGTAGCCGGTAAAAGACCACCCAGAGCGCAATGCAATGCTATCGAGATTACTAGAAAATCTCTCAACGAAAATCTGAAAACATTTTTGGCTTTTAGCAAGCGAAAGTATTTATTCGGTTACACGGCGTGGGCGATGCATTCGTCATCATCAGACTATTAAATTCTCCAACTAATAGGCCCCAGAACTTTTCTATGGATGGAAAAAGGAAAAATGTTTTTAGGTAACTTCAAGTATCATGCCCATTTACCATATTGGTAAGATTAGCGTTCCCAGGCGCTAGGCGTCCCGATAAAGTCCGACATAGTTAGGTTTTTAGATTGTGTGTCCGGCCGAAATAAACGGTGTGCGGCTTTTATTAGGCTTTTTACATTTGCCAAACGAGCGAGTTGATTGTCATTTTTACATACAATTTTTTGTCGTACCTAACTGAGACACAATATCCTCAATAATGTAGGGGCTCCGGCCTTTTTACCCAAATGGCGAACTGGCAGGTTTGGCGATCAGGCAACGCAACCTAGGTAAGATCTAAAATTGTGGCCTAACAAATCTTCCAACGTTAACCAATAATCAGTAAATTTATAAAATATACGTTTTGTCTTTCTAATGTCATAAATATATAAAATAAAGTAATCAATTGTTATTTCTTTCGTTTCTTGCACCGTCGATACTAATGCCACCGGAGACGAGACATACTTTTTTCTAAATTATAT